AAATTTAACCGACCCTTTTTTTTCCTAAAAAACACAGATCTGAAAAAAATAAAGGGGAAGTGGAGTGGGATAAAGGGGAAATAAAGTAGAATAAAGGGGAAATAAAGTAGAATAAAGGGGAAGTAAAGTGGGATAAAGGGAAATAAAATGAAAACAAAATAAAAATAAAAATAAAAATGGGAGGGAAAGCAAAATAGACACGGAATTATTTAACAACCTCACGACATTTTTTGTAAAGTGTTCCAAAATATTGTGTAAAAACTGGGAATAGCAAAAACTGAATTTAATTAATCCCTTCACCCTTCCTAAAAACTCAGATCTAACAAAAATAAAGGGAAATAAAAGTGGGATAAAGGGGAAATAAAGTGGGCAAAGGTGAATAAAATAAAAATAGGAGGAAAAACAAAGTAGACACGAAATTATTTAACAACCTCACGACATTTTTTGTAAAGTGATCCGGAAATATTGTTAGAAGCTGGGAATAACAAAAATCGAATTTGATTCCTTCCTAAAAACGCAGATCTAGTAAAAACAAAGGAAAATTAAAGTAGAATAAAGGGGAAATAAAGTGAGATAAAGGAGAAGTAAAGTGGAGTAAAGAAAAATAAAATAAAAATAGGAAGAAAAACAAAATAGACACGAAATTATTTAACAACCTCACGACATTTTTTATAAAGTGTCCCGAAAATATTGTGTAAAAAACTGGGAATAGCAAAAATTAAGTTTAACCAATATTCCTTCCTAAAAAACACAGGTCTAACAAAAATAAAGGGGAAATAAAGTAGAATAAAGGGGAAATAAAGCGGGATAAAGGGGAAATAAAGCGGGATAAAGGGGAAATAATGTAGAATAAAGGGGAAATAAAGTAGAATAAAGGGAAGAAGTAAAGTAGAATAAAGGGGAAGTAAAGTGGGATAAAGGGAAATAAAAATAAAAATGGGAGGGAAAACAAAATAGACACGAAATTATTTAACAACCTCACGACATTTTTTGTAAAGTGTTCCGGAAATATTGTTAAAAGCTGGGAATAACAAAAATCGAATTTAATTCCTTCCTAAAAACGCAGATCTAATAAAAACAAAGGAAAATCAAAATAGAATAAAGGGGAAATAAAGTGGGATAAAGGGAAACAAAATGAAAATAAAATAAAAATAAAAATAAAAGTGGGAGGGAAAACAAAATAGACACGGAATTATTTAACAACCTCACGACGTTTTTTATTTATAAAGTGATCCGGAAATATTGTGTAAAAACTGGGAATAGCAAAAAACTAAATTTAACCAATCCCTTCCTAAAACCTAAAAAACACAGATCTGGCAAAAATAAAGGGGAATAAAAGTGAGCAAAGGGGAATAAAATAAAAATAGGAGGAAAAACAAAGTAGACACGAAATTATTTAACAACCTCACGACATTTTTTGTAAAGTGTTCCAAAATATTGTGTAAAAATTGGGAATAACAAAAACCGAATTTAATCAATCCCTTCCTAAAAACACAGATCTAACAAAAATAAAGGGGAATAAAAGTGGGCAAAGGGGAATAAAATAAAAATAGGAGGAAAAACAAAGTAGATATACGGAATTATTTAACAACCTCACGACATTTTTTGTAAAGTGAAAATATTGTGTAAAAGCTGGGAATAACAAAAATCGAATTTAATTCCTTCCTAAAAACGCAGATCCAATAAAAACAAAGGAAAATTAAAGTAGAGTAAAGGGGAAGTAAACTAGAATAAAGGGGAAATAAAATAAAAATAAAAATGGGGGGAATACAAAATAGACACGGAATTATTTAACAACCTCACGACATTTTTTGTAAAGTATTCCAAAAATATTGTGTAAGAATTGGGAATAGCAAAAACTGAATTTAATCAATCCCTTCCTAAATAATGCAGATCCGATAAAAATAAAGGTAAAGTAAAGTGGGATAAAGGGGAATTAAAGTGGGATAAAGGGGAATTAAAGTGGGATAAAGGAAAGGAGAAGTAAAGTGGGATAGAGGAAAATCAAAGTAGAATAAAGGGAATTAAAATGGGACAAAGGGAAATAAAAACAAAATAAAAATGGGAGGGAAAACAAAATAGACGCGGAATTATTTAGTAACTTCGCGATATTTTTTGTATAGTGTTCCGGAAATATTGTGTTAAAAGCTGGGAATAACAAAAACTAAATTTAATTCCTTCCTAAAAACACAGATCTAACAAAAGTGAAGGTAAAGTAAAGTGGGGTAAAGGGAAATAAAAATAGGAGGAAAAACAAAGTAGACACGGAATTATTCAGTAACCTCACGACATTTTTGTAAAGTGTTCTGGAAATATTGTGTAAATGCTGGGGATAACAAAAATTGAATTTAATTCCTTCCTATAAAAACGCGGTTCTAAGAACAAAGGGAAATTAAAGTAGAACAAAGGAGAAGTGAAGTAAAATAAAGGGGAGTTAAAGTGAGATAAAGAGGAATTGAGGTGGGTCAAAGGAAAATAAAATAAAAGATAAAATAAGAAT